ACACAGTAAAAAGAAGGGATCAACCATCTTGGCGGCAGCTGTGGAAAAGTATATCCCTGAAGCTCTCCATATCCTCAAAACATACACCTTCCAGGACTCTACCCCTAGCTCCAAGGTCTCCAGCTATATCGAGGAGGCGTTCTGGACTTCGTGGGGGCGTCCTTCCATCGAGGTGTACTCCTCAGGCGGCGTTCTGCCGACTGGTAAAGTCCGCCTTTCATCTGCCGAGGTCGGCAAATTCGTGGCCGGCATTCCGGTGGTGCTGGATCAGATGAAGGATGACCCTTTCATCAGGAAACTCATCGATTTTGATTTGATCAAGGACATTACTGTCGATGATATTTGTGGAGAACTCGCGGCCAAGGCACTTGATAAGGAGCAACTTCGCAGCTTTATCCAGTGGGCGTCCACCCAGGCCGCCAACGCCGAGCTTGATCGCCCAAGCATTCAGCGGCTTCTTGATGTCACGGTTGCTACTGTCAGCGAAGGCGGAGAATCCGGTGATATCATTGCTCTGGGCTCGATCAAGTACTACCATAGCAACAAGATTCCCGCCACCCTCCCGGTACCGCCAGATACTCTGCCACATGTGTTCTCGGCTAGCATTCCAGAAGTGCGACTTGGGGCGCTTGGTTGGACCCCGTTGGGTATTGTGCCATGGCTCCGGTTCTTGATTGAGTCTGGACCCAGCAAAGGTGACGAACTCAATCTGGCCAAGTCGCCCAAGTTTTCATTGCAAATTCTCGCCGTCCTGTCGAAGAATTGGGACAATCTGAGTGAATCTTCCAAGTCATCGGTGGTGTCGGCACTCAAGCATATCACAGTCATGCCAACCAAGATGGGGCTGAAAAAGCCAGCCGAATCCTTCTTCCCCACTGTAAAGTTGTTCGACGATCTCCCCATTTTGGAAGGCTGCGCAAATATCAAAGAGAAGTTTTTGACGGCTTTGGGTGTGAGAAAGACCGTCGACCTCGAGACCATTTTCAGTCGGCTATTGAGTCCTACCCCTTCAGCTGCTGGTGCTGCGCATGCTAAATGGAGCCATATGGAGCTCATCAAGTATCTTGCCTCTGTTAGCGAAGACATCCCCCTCGCTGACATGAAGAAGCTGAGGGACTCGCCGCTCTGTCCCGCCGAGGATGGGCCAAAGGGATTGGAGCCGACTAAGGGTACGACGAAACTTTACAAAGTATCGGAGCTATTTGAACCAAAAGACTCACTGAGAACCCTTGGCTTGCCAATTCTTCAGTGGCCTGGCCCCCCGGGCAGCTTCAGAATTGGCAGCAGGGAGGGCAAATTTCTTACCTCTCTCGGCTTGAGGCCGTATCCTTCCGTACCGGAGCTTGTTGAGATGATGGCATCGTCTGATATCAGCCTTCGGGCGAGCGCCATGACTTACTTCATCTCCAATCATCACTTCAACAATTATGTCTCGTTTGATCTCTCAGGCACTACCAGACCAATTCTTCCAATTGAAGGGAATGAGAAGCAGCTAGTCCCTCCATCAGCTTGTTATACCAATGAAGGCGCAGCTGTGCTTGGATATAACGTCCTTCGGAGAGACTTGCACCTGCACGCTAGCAAGTTTGGCGTTAAGCGTGACCCTCCAATTGTCGGATGCGTGGAAAAGCTTCTTGCAAACCCCCCGCGCGAACGCAACATGGCTATTACTTTGTTTGAGTACTTCAGTACTCGGTTGAGTGATCTTAACGGTACCATTATTGCAAGACTGAAGGATGCGCCAATAGTTCCAGTCATGAGGAAGAAGGACCAGTCTCTAGGTGAGAAATCCGACACGAGTCTCGTATTTGCCCGCCCTCAGCATGTTTATCTGGGCAATTCTACCACATATGGCGACATCTTTGACTTTGTTGACTTTGGGACCAACGCAAATACCTTCCTGTTCAAGTGTGGTGCCAAAAGCGAGCCGACAAAGTATGAGATTGCGCAGCTTGCCTGCAATGAGCCAGCGAGACTCTTGAGTGTTCTGCAGAGCCCGGATAAGTATCTGGTTCTGCTGAGGACTCTAGCTGAGGACCTCCCAACGTTGAAGAGAGACAGAGACCTATACAGGAAGATGAAGACCTCGGCCTGGCTGCTCGCCTCCCGAGAGCTGTCATCAGGAAAGGGTAAGGAGTCGGACCTTTATGAGGAAGAGGAGGCGCCGATCAAGCACTATCAGCTTGCCGCCCCTAGGGATATCGTCATTCTCGATGATTATATCAGCTACAGACTCTTCAAGGACTCTTTGCTCTGCGCGCCTGAGGAGGACTCTCTGGAGGAGTTCTACATGGCTCTTGGATCCGAGACATTAGGCAGCAGAGTCACAGAGAACGTCATCCCAGGTGCTATGATGCCGAGACAGGACGGTGCGGAATGGTTACGAAAGCACGTGCTTGAGCGCTCCAAGATTTTCTTGCATGAGTATTCCAGGGTCAAGCGGGACGCTATCAAGCGAGACACGCGATGGTTGGAGAAGAACCTGCAAGTTCTGGCTGTAACCTCGGTTAGTCTTCGTCGGTCACTCCATGGCCATGGAAAGACGCATAATGAGAAGCGTTCGGCGGCTAGTGCCCAGGCTGGCAACAGTTGGATCTTGTATGTGGCTGGCGGAGATAAACCAGACATGTATCAGGTCGGACAGGCCATCTGCCAGCTCCTTCTAAATCGTCCTGGCCAGCAAGCTTACTTCTTCTTCGAGCCGTTCTTGAAGCTAGGATTGTTGCAGCTGCGAGATCGCGGATACAATGTAGACCGTATCTTGCGTGTCAAGGCTGCCGAAGCCAGAATCGCTGAGGAGGAGCGGCGCAAGGCGTTAGAGGCGGAGCAGAATCAGATTCGGGAGCGAAACAAGGAATGGGAGGAGCAACAGTCTCGCGCCGCTGAGGCTGCGCGTGAAGAAGCTAAGACACCTGAGCGTGCCCGCGATCGAATGCCTGGAAGCTTTCATGATTCACCTGATGACGAGCCGGCTGCGCTTCTCCCGCCGCAGCAGCAGAAGCATAAGAGCAGAGGGTTCTTTTCTGATCTGACTCGCCGCTTTGGTCTGGATACTTCGAACAATGATGATGATTCTGAATCTCGCAAGCGGTTGAATGACTTCTTGCCTGATCGTCCATTGGCGGGAGATGTGAAGACGCTTCCACCCGCAGGCGGGGAACAGAAACCCAAGGACGAAGGACGGGTCACTTCACCTGCTGTTGTCCAGCAGAACCTGCTCAATGCTATCAAGTCAACCCGTGCACACGACTCGACTTCCTTGTTCTCACCACCTACTCAGCAGGAGGTCAAGGAGAAAGCCACCTACTGCGACCAGAACCAGGCGCACAATATCACTTTCGCGGCTGAGGCACCGCACGGTATGCGGGTCTTTGTCGATCGGAACCTTTCAGTTGATGTGCCTACTTTCCTTTCGACGAATATCGAAACGATCAAATCGTTTGAGAGCATCCTGAGGGATGTTGGGGATGTTTACAGAGTGCCCGTAAGGTCCGTGCACATATTTTTTGATGAAAAAGGTAGTACCATTGCGTTCAACAGCAACGGGAGCATCTTTTGCAATTTGAGATTCTTTAATCAGTTGCATGGACAGGGTGTAGGAAGTCCAAAGGGCAGGACAGAGGCGACAACTTGGTGGTGGGTCGTGCTGGCTCACGAGCTGGCTCATAATATTGTGCAGACGCATAATTCGGAGCATAGTTATTATACGTAAGTATTTCTTGGACGCTATTCAAAGAGCAAAAACCGGAAAAGCTAACAATGTTTGTTTACAGGGAGTCGTTTGTCCAGCAGTACTTCCCGACTATGATGGCCAAGGCAGCGTCGTGGTCGGAATCTACGGCCGGAGCTGGTTCGGGTTCTTCGGCGACGGTAGCTTCGGCTTCTGTGCAGGGACGATCAGGGGCAGCAGGGGGGGACGTGTCTAGACCACTCCCGCCTCCTCCGCCTTATAGCGCTGAACCTAGTGGGCCTGGTGGGTGGGCGTAAGAACGCTGGGTTGGGGTAAAGGGACTTCGTTTCGTATCATGGCATTTGCGGGGTGTCCTTGGTTGAATCGCATCGCGTCTTTTCCTTGGTTGGCTTTATATCTCTCAAGAGCGAGCGAGCGACCGAGAGTAGGTATAGAGAGACTTGGCATAGAAATCGCTACGGGCATGAAGGGTTTGCATGATGGCACGGGATCATACTTGGCTTATGTGAGGTGTTTGATGGGGAGATCTCGTATATATTATTAGAGCAGGAAACACAGAGAAAGGGAGAGACATGAGAATTAGACCATCTCGGCTTTTTGCCTTTACTTTCGGGAATATCACATCATACCTGATTTGGAGGCACAGGGATGTGCAAACCAGTTGTCCAACTGGACAGCAGCATTCAACTCTTCGTGATTTTAAGGCTCGGTGATGTTCGGTATGTTTTTGTAGTTAATTATGACTCTTCACAATCACAACACAAGAGGCTTCACCGAAAAATTCCCACATAACAGAGTTTCAGTGTGTTGCTGGCTTGCCAATTCTGAGAAAATATGATACGTACTCTTCCGGTTAGTTCGGGCAAAGTGGATGAAGGATTTATGGTAGGCACCGGTAGACAGAACACTGATCGTCGATTCCATCATTCCAAATTGTTATGTTGCACTCTTGGTTTACTCAGTGGAGTCCTTCGGATGCCATCCGTTGTATTTGTTGTCTTGCCACTCACACCATGCCACTGGAAGCTCTTCCATCATGAATGTGCACAGTAAAAGTATACGTCGGTGACAATAGAGATTCTTAAGTTACAACAAGAAAATGCGATTAAAGGATGTTTTAGTATGCAAATGAACTCTAAAAAAAATGCGTATATCAATCACTCTTATTGTGATATCTCTTATCTAAGGTTTTACAGTAAGAGTGGGGGGAAATTGTGACTTCAACGATGAAATTCTGAAGACGACGACGGTGAGAGGATGACGTGATCTTGATATCAAGGGTGTTCCCGCAAGCATCTTTCGCTCTGAAGCAGACATGGCCGAGTGGTTTAAGGCGATGGTTTTAAGTTCTATTCACAATCAATGATTTATCACCATTATCGAGAGATGCGTGGGTTCGAACCCCACTGTCTGCATTTGAGTTTTTTTACCTACTTCGAACAAGGCACCTCATGGTCGTCGGACTTACACATCGGTTCGCATCATGTTTTTTTTTAAACTATTTATTTTTATGTACTGAGCTGACAACGAGAGGAAAGCACACCCTCGCTCGGAACTCCTCTTTTTTATTTACCCCGCAAACGCTTCTGTGGGCTAGACACGGAAAAGGAAAGCGGGGAAATGATGAGGACAAGGGGGGCACAAAAACATGCCGAAGCATCACCGAGTATGATCCGGCGTGTAAGTGGCATGGGTTTACCAACTACCGAATGTGGGAGTTTTTGAATGAGCCGGTCTGAGTCTATGCGTGATTAGTACTACGCACACGATGACGGGAAGTTGAACCGGATCGTGTTACTGGTTGGGACGAAGTCGAAGGCATGCGGGCATGCGAGGTGGGGGAGGATTGCCCCTCAAGGTGCTTTTCTTGCTCGCATATGCAATGATCACCGAGGCCAATGGATGGCTGATGAAAGCCGTTGGGAGTTTGGAGAATGGACGTCCGGGTAAACCATGCGTCAGAGCGAATTGGCCAATTGATCATGATGCTGTGTCAAACTGTTACCCCAATTGACCAATGGAACAGATTCCCAGCTCTCTCCTTTCTCCCCCCTCCTCCTCTCTCCATCTTCCCGCGACCTTCCCGATCCAAGGTGAGGGGAAAGGAACGAAGGTCATGTCATGATGAAAGGGGCAAAACGAGTTTCTCGTCTCTCCGAGTATGTGTAGCACAACGGAACTAAGGCAGATCGGCTTTGTGAATACCTAAGGGAGGGGGGAAAGGAAAGAGAAACTTTGAAGCATAAATAACCACCTGCTGGCTCCCTCATAAGTTTTGACGTAGATCTTCTTCTTCTTTATTGTTCCTTGTTGTATTACCCCTCTCGGTGTTTGAAGGAACGACCGAACAACACACCACGACAACAATCTCGAGAGATATATATATCTACCGTCCCGTCCGTCCTACCTGGTGCCACGGTACAACCTATAAGAACCCCTCTTCGTCCCATTTCAAATTGGATACGAGAGATTCATCCCTTCTGTTCTTTTCAACTCGATATACATCAGATCGAAGAATCAAGTCAAAATGGTATTACTTGCTCGCTCCTCCTCCTCCTTCCGACCCCTTTTATCATTGGTCTCTTCTCGTTCATACACAACCTCCGTCCCTCGCACTCTGTCCACCCCCTCCCTCTCATTCAACAAGACGAAGAGACTACCATTCTCGAAAACAACGACCCGGTTGCTAACGACACAACGTGAAAAGGTCAAAGTACTCGCTGTTCTGTACGATGGTGGCAAGCACGCCGAACAGGTAATTCAACCCCTCCTCCCATCTCCTTTCTTTTCATGATCAATCTGATCTCTCTTCATGCTCCATGTTTCATTGAATGAGAACATGGGATAATGGATGATGTTGAATTGCGGGGTCCTCCAACAAGGGTGTTGCAACACCGTGTGAATATTGTTCGGAGTGTTCGGGGAAGTGGGGGGGTCAGCATACGCGGGAGCGGAAGAAGGGAGGGATGATGTTGGGTAAAGAGAAGCGGATGATAATCAACTCCATCTGCGGGGCTTTACCCCAGGAAATTCGACACCATGAGATGAGATTGACAAGAAACGAAGAAACGCGGGGAGAGAACCCATGCTAATTTTGTACCGCTCTCCGAAAATGTAGGTTCCAGAACTCCTCGGCACAACCGAGAACGAGCTCGGCATCCGCAAGTGGCTTGAGGACCAAGGCCACACTCTCGTAACCACCTCAGACAAGGAAGGCGAGAACTCAACCTTTGACCGTGAGCTCGTCGACGCAGAAGTTATCATCACTACCCCCTTCCACCCAGGCTACCTCACCGCCGAGCGCCTCGCAAAGGCTAAGAAGCTCAAGCTCGCCATCACTGCCGGCATCGGCTCTGACCATGTCGACCTCAACGCAGCCAACAAGACCAACGGCGGTATCACCGTCGCCGAGGTCACCGGCTCTAACGTCGTCTCAGTCGCAGAGCACGTCGTCATGACCATTCTTGTTCTCGTCCGCAACTTCGTCCCTGCCCACGAGCAGATCGAGGCCGGCGGGTGGGACGTCGCCGAGGCGGCCAAGAACGAGTTCGATCTCGAGGGTAAGGTCGTCGGTACCGTTGCCGTTGGCCGTATCGGCGAGCGTGTCTTGCGCCGCTTGAAGCCGTTCGACTGCAAGGAGCTGCTCTACTATGATTATCAGCCCTTGTCTGCCGAGAAGGAGAAGGAAATTGGCTGCCGTCGTGTTGATACCCTCGAGGAGCTGCTCGCTCAGTGCGATGTCGTTACCATCAACTGCCCTCTGCACGAGAAGACCAGAGGTCTCTTCAACAAGGATCTCATCGCAAAGATGAAGCCTGGTATGTTTCTTTTCGCCCCCATATGATCTCTGTTCGTGATACTGACCGGGATCAAAGGCTCCTGGCTCGTCAACACCGCCCGTGGTGCCATCGTCGTCAAGGAGGACGTCGCCGAGGCTCTCAAGTCCGGCCACCTCCGCGGCTACGGTGGTGATGTCTGGTTCCCCCAGCCCGCACCCGAGGATCATATCCTCCGCACTGCCAAGAACCCATTCGGCGGCGGCAACGCCATGGTCCCCCACATGTCCGGTACCTCCCTCGACGCCCAGAAGCGTTATGCTCTGGGTACCAAGGCTATTCTCGAGAGCTATCTGACCGGGCGGCTCGACTACAAGCCCGAGGATTTGATTGTTCATGGCGGTGATTATGCTACCAAGGCCTATGGCGAGCGGGCGAAGAAGGCGACCGTTGATGTTGCTGGTCCTTAAATGGAGAATATGTTTTGTATATAATCATGTGGTTTTTTCGGCTTAGGAAGCAGCCGGTTCTTTTTTATGATGAATGAACGAATTGAACAAAAGTATATCTGCGTTGCGTTTTGCACTCGACAGCTGTCAGAGTTCGTTGCGTATTATTCCAAGGCTATTCCTCCCTGTAATGCTTTATCCATTCCGTGAATCACTTTTACGTGAAGCGATATATATATGCACGTTTACCCAAACCTAAAACGCAATGCTATTTACCTAGGTAAGGGGGTATCATCTCCTAGCCCAAAACTTCCACCACTTCCTTCTTCCTCCATCTGTTTCCATCTTTAACCTGCTCCTGTCAGGCGCTCTCCCTCGGACACGCCAGAAATAAACGGGCACGCCCGCAATCACAAACGCCACCACTAGCAGTGTCTGCAACGGTTGCGCAAAAACGGCTCTGCTCAGCAAAAACAGGCTGACGCAACAAAATATTATGGGAGTCGTAATCCACGTCTTGTACGGCCTCTCCAGATTAGGTTCTTTGACGCGAAGGACAATCAAGCCCAGCACGGTAATAAAGTAAAACGTGTAACCGGCCACGCCGTAGAATGTGAGCAGGGTGCTAAACTCCCCGACCACGACGTACGTGGCGGTCAACGTGGCGTTGAGTATAAGCGCAGGGATAGGAGTAAAAAACAGTCCTGTGTCTTCATCTCCAAAGAGGCTTCCCATCTTTTTCTTGAACCACGATCTGGTCCTCACTGTAGATAGATGCTCCTCGTGCGCGGTGCCGGTACCCAGCCGGCCAAACAACTCGGGGATGTAGCCCTCCTTCCCGGCTACGTAGACCAGTCGGCTGCTGGTGAAGGTTGAGCTGTTGAGTGCGCCAAAGCAGGAGGCGCTGACGATAAGGGCGAGTACCAGTGACCCGACTGACCCAAAAACCTTGGCGCCAAAGATGACCGCGACGGTGTTGGTGGAGTTGATCGCATCTAGAGGGAGGACGAGAAAGTATGCTACGTTGGCGAGAACGTAGGAAATGATGACTAGTGGCATGGCTGTGTGGATAACTCGGGGGAGGTCCCTACTAGGGTTGCGGAATTCCCCTACAACGTAGTTGGTCTGAAATATCGGTGTTACTAAAGGTCATTTTGTACAGGGGCATTGTAGACACTTACGTTATCCCATCCATCGAAAGCCCAGAGACCAGCGTACAACGCCACAGCCCAGGCCGAAGCATCCATCTTGGTCCCCTCGAACCAGCTTTGTTCCTTCCACTCTACATTCGGCGTCGTGCCCTTGGCCGAGTAACCCGTAACCGCCACAACAATCCCAATCACCGTAACCCCCAACAGAGCCACAAACTTCAAAAACATCAACATATCATTCAACCTCGTCCCAAGCCTTGTTGACACGCAGTTCAAGAACGTAACCAACGTCAAGCCCACTAGCGCGACAGACTTGCTAACCCACACATTCATAGTCTCCGCCTCGGCTCCGATGAACGCCCTTACCAGGTACTCGCCCATGATGATTGCTATGATCGCGGCACTACCGGGCTTAAGCACCAACACGGCGGACCACGTAAACAAGAACCCGAAGCACTCCCCAAAGATCTTGCTCAGGTAAACCTGCGCACCTCCATTCAGCGGTATCGCCCCACCCAGCTCAGCATAACTCGCCGCACCCGTCCAGGCTAATATGCCCGCAACGACCCAAACGATCAGCGCCGCCCCTGGGGATCCCATGTTCGCGTTCACCTGACTTGGACTGCTGAAGATACCAGAACCGATTATGAGCCCCACAATCAACGACAATCCATTCAAGTACGTCAGAGTCTTGTGCTTTTCTAGTGAGCCGCCCCCTATTATCCCCCCTCCGCCTCTGTCTCTCCTCCCCGACGGGGACGAACCTGACCCGCCGAGCGGCGCATACCCTCCCGCACCTGGCGCCGTAGAAGACAATGGGAAGAGGTTTGACGCGAAATCGAAGGTGGAATTTACAGAGAATGAGCGGTCTGGACGTGTTCGTCGAGTATTTGCCGGATTGGCGCTGTCGAGGGGATCATCACGCTCAAGGGAGGCGCGCCTAGAGGAAGAGATGCTTGGACGGGAAGAGCCGTCGTCGCTGCCTGTGTCGAGGCCTTCGCCTGAGGAACTGGCAAGGGAGGCCAGCTCGAGGGAGTCG